AAAAAAGCAGTATGACCAAGTCAAACATCATTCAACGTTACAATAGCATGCTGATGCTGTCATGACTTAGCCGACCAACACACAACCCATTAAAAAATGTAGCCGTTAAAGAATAATTTCGCGGTTAAAACAAAAAAATGCTGCTCTTTTCTTACACTGTGTGTGTGTAGTGTGTACTAATAAACTAGCCGTTGGTGCAGATAAAACTGAAAATCTCTGTTTCCTTTCACTCTGAGCTCCGTTTATTTTTGTCCTGATTTTCTTATTCTTCTTCTTCAGTACAAGTTCAATAAATTCTCTGTTTCTCCATACTTTTCACAAAAGACTATGCAGCAAAAAAGCTGAAAACTTAAAAGCTCCCATAAAAATAAATAATAAAAATTATCCTTTCTCATATACCAATCCATCATCATTCATGGATATCTTCCCAAGGAGAGAAAAATCAAAGCAACCCAAAATCATGTTATTATTCTACCTTTTCACTCTTCTCTTTCTCGATTTCAGCTGTGTCTCGTGCAAGCAATCGAACAACAACGTGCCCTTAACCGAATCGGACTACCGAGCCCTCACATCAATGAAGGCCCAACTCATCGACCTCAATCGGGCTCTCATCAGCTGGAACGGAACCCGGGCCCGAACTTGTTCCTCGTGGGCCGGCATCAAATGTGTTATGGGCCGAGTCACATCCATTCAGCTCCCATGGAAAAGTCTACAGGGAAGAATTTCCGAGTCAATTGGGCAGCTTCGAGCCCTCCGCCACCTAAGCCTCCACGATAACGGGCTTGTGGGGCCCATTCCAACGTCGATCGGGCTCCTTCGGAATCTCAAGGGCATTTACCTTTTCAACAACCGGCTTTCGGGCTTAGTTCCACCCTCGATCGGTAACTGTTTGAATCTTTTGGCTATTGATTTTAGTAACAATCGGCTAACGGGCTTTATTCCGCCCGATCTTGCTAACTTGACCAGACTGTATAGAATAAATTTGAGTCGAAATTTGATTGCCGGGCTTTTGCCGAACGAGTTGGGCAGTCTTTCGAGGCTGAATTTTCTTGATTTGTCGAATAACACTCTCGACGGGGAGATCCCGGTTTTTTTATTCGAAAAAATGGCGAACCTTTCGGTTTTGAACTTGAGTGACAATAACTTCACAGGCCAAATTCCAGATACAGTTGGGAATAATAATGTTTCTAGTTTGACCAGACTCGATTTGTCTCGAAATAATCTGACTGGTGAAATCCCAGTTTCCATTGCTAATATAAAAAACCTTTCTTCTTTCGATGTTTCGTATAATGACCTTTTCGGCCCCGTCCCGCCTGTTCTTGCCAAGAAATTCAATTCCACTTCATTTATTGGCAACTTTCAGCTCTGTGGATACAGTTTTTCGACTCTTTGCTCTTCTTCTTCTCAAGAACCCGGAAAAAATCCTCCTTTTAATTCTCAACAGGCACAGAATCATCACAAGCTTCGAAAAAACTTAATCTTTATATCAGCCGGTGCTCTTTTTTTAGTAGTTATACTCATTGTATGCTGTGTACTCCTCTGCTGCTGCCTTAAGATGAGAAAAAAACGAGCCGATAAAAGTGGAAACTCAGAACCGATGCCAGCTGGCGGCTCGGAACCCGAAACGGGCGGGAAGCTGGTTCATTTTGACGGACAATTTGTGTTCACGGCCGATGATTTATTGTGTGCAACGGCTGAGATAATGGGAAAAAGTGCGTACGGGACAGCTTATAAGGCGACATTGGAGGATGGTAATGAGGTTACTGTGAAAAGGCTGAGGGAGAAAATGACAAAGGCCCGGAAAGAATTCGAGATCGAAATTGGTCAGCTTGGGCAGATTAGACATCCGAATATCTTAGCATTGAGAGCTTATTATCTTGGACCTAAAGGGGAGAAGCTTCTTGTCTATGATCACATGCCTAACGGGAGTCTCGCGTCCTTTCTCCACGGTAAGCTAAATAACTCGATAAAGTTTGAATCTTTTTCCATAATTAGTTGGTTTTTGGTTAGCAATATGACTTCTATCGGTTTTAGTCATTTGTCATTGGAAATCGGAAGTTCTTTAGGGAAATTCTAGTTAAAAAGGGCACCTTTACTTGATAAAGTTTGAATCTTTTTCGATAACTTGCTGGTTTTAGCCATATATCTCCTACCATTTTAGTCATTTGTCATTGATAATCGGAAGTTCTTTCGGGAATTCTACTAAAAAATGGCACACTTTACTCGATAAAGTTTGAATCTTTTCCGATAATTAGTTGGTTTTAGCCATGCAACTCCTACCATTTTAGTCTTTCGAGAAATTCTAGTCAAAAGGGCACACTTTACTCGATAAAGTATGAATCTTTTTCGAGAATTAGCAGGATTTAGCCTCATAACTATTTGATTTTATTAGTCATTATGTGATTGAAAAATCTACATGATGATCCCCTCAACAGTCGAATGGACCCGATTTACTCGATAAACCTATGATTTACTCGATAAACCGACATGCAGCATTAGATTTTTGGTTTAAGTTAAAATGCCATCTAGCTACTAAATCCTCATACTTAGTAATTGGTTTTGACTTTTAAGGCAAAACCTGTCGTTGCATAACTAATTAGAAGAACTATCACATTTTTCCTCTGTTCTATGACAAACACAAACAATAGAAAAGAATGAAAAAAACCCAAAAAAACAAAATAAAAAATGAAAAACACTACTGACTTATTTTATTATTACTCCATCCTATCTGCAGCCCGAGGGCCCGAAACCATCATACCCTGGCCAACGAGACTATCCATAGCCATCGGGACTTCACGAGCTCTCCACCACCTTCACGAGAAAGAGAACATCATACACGGCAACTTAACCTCAACGAACATCCTATTAGACCAGAAGAACAATCCAAAGCTCGCCGAATTCGGGCTTCCGCGCCTAGTCACGGGCCCTGCCAGCTCAGAACTTGTGGCGACAGCTGGCGCTACGGGCTACCGGGCCCCCGAGCTCTCGAAGCCCAACAAGAACCCGACGGCCAAATCTGACGTGTACAGTCTTGGCGTGATAATCTTGGAGCTGCTGACCGGAAAATCTCCAGTCGAGGCTGAAGATGATGGGCCGGGCCTGCCTGAATGGGTGGCTTCCATTGTTAAGGAGGAATGGACTAATGAGGTTTTTGATGTGGAGCTTCTGGGGGAAGCTGGTTCGGATGTTGGGGATGAGCTGCTCAATGTGCTGAAATTGGGCCTGCATTGCGTGGACCCCACGCCGGTGGCCCGGCCCGATGCGAAGCAGGTGATGGAGAAGCTCGAGGAGGTCAGGCCCGGCCCGAATGACTCTGTAGAGGCTGCTGCTGCTTGCATAGAGTGAGTGGGGGAAAGTTTTTGAAAGCTGGTTTTGCAGAGTTTGTATAATTCATTGATTTGTTTTATTTATTTATTTATTTATTTTTTAAAGAAATTCATTGAGCTGTATGTATAATTCTTTTTATCTTGTTTCATTCATTTGTTTTGATTTTTTTTTGTTGGTTGAAATTCTCACAGCAGGTGTGTTTTTTGTTCTTGGTTAAGAATTAAAGAGTGTATAATCAGTAATTAGAGTGTATATCTACAAATGCATTGATTGTTATTGGTGGCTAGTTTTTTCTAATCAGACTTGTAATAAAATCTCATAGATAAATATTTTGTGATCAGATAAGTGTAAAATGTTTAGGACATGCTTGTTTATGAAATAATTCATTTCACACTAAAAATCTAATTCAACTTTAACTCAATCTCACTATCATTTATATTATTTATATAATTAAATATTATAAACCAATCATTCTTACATATCACATTAACTTTAATTCACGATTCATCCACTCACATAATTTTAACTATTTATCATTTCCAATCATTTATATCTTACTTTTACATCAAATCATTAATAATCATTTTATTTTAAATATTATTTTAATATATTATTAAAATCCCACTAACAATTAACCATACTACCTTTTTCAAAATTAACTCTAGTTAACTAAAATAATTTATTTTGAATAAAATATTTCATAAACAAGCACGCCCTTAATTTTCATATGCATGGTGTTGAATCTTTTACTTATTATTAGCTCATGTAGTCATGTTTTTTATATTCATGAGTTTGAATATCTCCTTAATATAATTTCAAAACGTGCTGAACTTAAATGGTTGGCTCGCACGCTTCGAAAATTTACTTGGCAACATTATATGCTTAAGCTTTCAATTCGGATAAAAATTAATAAAATTATTATATATACTATTTGGTTTGTGGTAATCCTATTCCAATTAAGTAGCTAACGTGTATAATTACTCAATTTTAGTTTTGTTAGATGTCCGTGTCAACTAGGAATCCGTTGTATTTAATCATATTTTAATATATTTTTCACGTCTGTACTTTTAGATATAGTAAAATTTACTCTGAATTCTTTCATTATATTTTCAGGTATAAAAAGCAAATTTGATTACGCAAAGCAGAATTTAGTTTGACTTTAGTTATGTGGCAACATATATGTAGACGTGATCACTGGCAACATATATATGTGAATGATCCATCCAAAACTATAATATATTTGCTTAATATTATAATATATTTTGTCTTAATCCAATCCCTTCATTCCTTAATCGTTTAAAATAAAATATTTAATAAATAGAATTTTTGCTTAATCCTCTATTAATATAATTTCAAAACGTGCTTACAATCTTTTGCTTTTCCTCTCTTTATTAAGTAAGAAAATAATTTATTTTAATTAATATTAAATAAACATATTCTTCATAAGATTAATCTATTTTTTTTAATGTTAAATAAACCATTTATGCATATATATATTACCATATTATTTCTATTTATTTAAGATATATATTTCTCTATTTAATAATAGTAAATAATATCGATAATTTTATATGACATAAGTAAAATTCAATATGGGTTGACATTTTTATTTAATATACGGGTGTTTAATTATTATGATTAAAAAAATATAATTTGACAATTTAATTAAAGCTCAAAGTAATTTTTATATAAAATTAATTTATTTTAGTTTGAATAAAATAATATTTTTTACATATGCTTCCTAATTCAACACCCATGTATTTACACGGGTGTCATACTAGTTTGATATTAAACTTGATGTATGGTATAGAAAAAAAGATAAATATTGATATGACATCATCATAAGGAGTAGAGTTACAAGAGTTGGAAAATAGTAAAAACTTGTGAAAAAATAAGTAAAAATTAATATTCAGTATTTGGACTAAAAAATTAAGAATATAATAAAATAATTAATGCGATATAAAATTTTGAATACAATCTATCATTATATTAAAAGATTAACCATTTAACACTTTTAGCAAGTTTTTCCCGCCAAATACATTTAATGTCTCCTAAAAATAGAGCAACATTAAATGTTGCCCTTAAATCATGGCAGTTGTTAATTTAGTTTTGAAAAAATCGTGGCAACTAAAACAAACAACATTAATTACGGCTGATTTAATATTTAAATGGTAAACAAATATTACTTTTTTATGACTGATTTAAATTTACGTCTGTTTAAAAGTAAAAAACTACTTTTGTAATTTCAATAAATTTGTACTCCTTAATGTACGGCTGATTTAAAATTAAGAATTTACTTTTGTATTTTCACAAAAAGTCGTATAAAGAAGTATGGCTAGAATAATAATAAAAAATTAATTTGTTAAACCATATTTTGCACTCATAGATACGAATTCTCATCAAATTCAAGATTTAAAATTGTGAAGTAGATGTGGACTGATTGAAGATATATGATTCCTTAAATTAGGAATTTTTTTCGGTAAAAAAAAAATATAAAATTTAAATATAGATTTTATTAGTAGTGTATACCAAAGAATATTGTTACATTTAAAATTCCTATGAAGAAGAATTATATTAATTTTCAAATTCAACATCTCATAAAAATAATATAATACACTTTTACATTCTATGAAATAATATTTAAAACCCACCGTTCAACATGCATAAAATGTAAAATTACCTAACATGAATCATTTTAACTTTCTAAAATCAGTACACAATTTGCTCGGCATGTACTAATAGTCTAATAGTTAAGAGTTAATATTTGCTATGACATCTATTGGTTGGAAAGAATTCCATTTTGTATGGAATTCGAAATGAAAAAACATATTCTGAAAATCAAATATGGTTTAGAGATCGGTTTCTTAATGACCTTAAATTTTGCAAATATATTGTTTCAATTTTTAGGATTCTTTTTTATGATCTCAGTCTTTGCATTATATGAAATCTATACTCATATAAAAAGTCATCCTATTTACTAGAAATAGTATGCAGAAAAGTCAAAGGTAATTAATGTTTGCTGGAAATAGAATGATATTAATTACAGATTTGTTTTGGTATTTATAGGCTTGACATTAAATATTTGTTATGGGATAAAAATTAGAACCGATTTTTTTACCTTTGCTGGAAAAGTCAAAGGTAAGTATAGATTTGTTTTATCCCATAGCATCGGTTTAGTTAAGAAAATCCCATCAAATCAATTTTATATGTCAAGCCTATGAATAAAGATTTAATCGATCAAAATTAAATCCTTATTTTACGTCACCCATAATAAAGTAGATGTCAAACCTAAATTGAAGGGTTTAGTTGTCTATATAGTCATTGATTTACGTAAATACATCTAATGTTTAAAGTTTGTGTAGATTGAAAATTCCTTCTTATCTTTTTACAAAAAATCTTATTATTATTGTATGGAAAATCAAACTCATAATGTTGTGTACAAGGTGGTCTTTAATAATATATGATTGCTTGTTTGTTGAATACTATCTTATTGTATGATTTTCCTGCGTATTATAAACTTTTATTGAATATTGCATCTTATAATATAGTATTCCTCAAATAAATATATCACGTGCCTCGCACGGGTCACGTACTATATATATCCCATACATTTTTCTGTATTCATGTATATAATTATAAGTCTGGATAAATAGCCTTAAAATTGTGCACCCCGTGCATTGCACGGGCTCTGTACTAGTTATAAGAAAAAGGATATGAGTTTTTTCTCAAATTTCAGCATTTCCAATGTATTTTTTTTTTTTTAATCAACGGCATTCTAAAAATTAATTGCCAAGGTAGCTAAAACGTTTCATGAGCAAATTGCGAGTCTTTTTCAAGCTTACACGAGCAAAATAAAAGAAACTCCGCACAATTTTCACACACATTTTCACCTCAAAGCTCAAAAATCCACAAACCCCAAAACCAACAGCGATGGACGCCTTCTTCCCGATCGACAAGATCCTGATCTCCGGCGCCACCATCGCCTCCCTCCTCCACCGCTCCTCCTCATCCGCCGGCGACATTCACGGCTACCTCTTCGGCCACGCCGCCGTCACCACCTCCAACCCCCTCTCCCCTCTCCCTCGCCCCATCCCTCTTCCTCCTCATATCGACGCCGTTTCAGGACCAGCTGATCCACACCCACGAGTACAGAGCCTTTCAGTATAAAGGCGGCACCTTTGAGCCCAAAACCCTTCAAATTGTCAATCTTGGGCCCTCATTCAGGTCCCAATACGATTCTTTTAGCCCTAGCGTGCGATTTCCAATGCTGAGCTGCGAATTGAGGGGCTCAAATGCAATGGCTGAGGATAATTCTGCCGATGGGAAGAACAGCTTGAAAGATCAAAAGCAATTGGATGACTGTGCCCAAGGTTTTGATATCGGGAGGCTTAGTAAGCTGATGGGCTCGGAGGCCGCTTACACGGGCGAGCTCGAGGATTTGTATGATAAAATGCTGGCTAAGATTGATGGGCTGTCAAGATTGGTCGAGCAGACAAATGCCAAAGTTCAAGAGCAGGTGATCATGCTAAATTAATATTGAACTCTTTTTTGCATAAAAGATTTGAACTTTCTATAGGTTTGGAGAGTTTAAAGCGCATAATTGATGGATTTTTCGTAGGATGAGATATTTTTCTGCATGTTTTGGGAGGATTTTTTTTTTTTTTATAAAAACAGGTTTAATGTGTTTGGTTTGCAGGAGAATTATAATATGAAATTGAGGTGCAGAGTTGCAGGTTTGGAATAATGTGCTGGTCTGATGTTGTTATGGTGGCCTTTTTTCTGCTTGGGTAAGGTAATGCTTTTGCTCCGTTCTGTGTTCTGTTTGGTTTTTTATTTTTTATTTTTATTTTGGAGAATGTGACTTGTTTGTTAAGCCCTTTTGGCCGCTGTGTGGCTTGTTTTGATTTATCGTGTGTAATTAGTTCTTGTGATTGGCGCTATTGTGATTTTGTGATGTGAAGAATCTTGCTTAACATAAATCTCAACTAGCATGAGTGAGGGATAATGTGCAACTTTGAGTTGTCACTTATGTTGTTAATCGAATTTGATGAACTTAGAAGAATTTCTTACACAGATAAAAATCTGAAAATTTATAGGATAATGGTACTGCTTTATAGTGCTTTTGAGGTACATTCATTTAGAGCAAACATTACCTTTTTATTCACCAACATTTGGCCTCCTCTTGTTTTAGTGAACCAAACCTAGTTTGAAGTGATTAAAGTTTCACTTAAGTATTGCATCTCTTATCCTGCTTCTTTATACAGATTCCTTTCAATCCAAGCACTTTACCTTTCTTTTTTTCCTTTGCCCTTTCTATTTTGCTTTTTATTAGTGGTACATAGCTTTTCCTTTACAAATAGCGAAAGGGGAGGGCTGGGGGACTTCATATTCATTTAATTCTGAAATACAGTTTCAATTTCTTGGTATATCAGCGCTTAAACCCGTTTGACATATTTTATATTAACTCAAAAAGAATTATAAGTTGAACAGCTTGATACTAAATAAGTTATTTAGGAGGTATTGAATTTGAAGCATCAATGATCGCCGATGAAGAACTTTAACGAATGTAAGCTGAACCAAAGTAGGAACCTTATGCTCCTATTAAGCAATGTTTATGTTTTTCTCCTTTCAGATCAAGGGCTCGTGATTAGCGTATTTTAACAAATCAAACTTGATTCCTGACCATTAACATAATCGAATGATGTATTATCGTTTCACCCTGCCTTTGTAATGTTTAATTTTTTTTTAATCTTTTTTCTTGCTTCGGAAAAGGTGAAGCTGTGGCTGCAAGGCATAACTGTTTGCAAAACTCCGATCTTGCTGCTTGCTTTCCAGAAAACTCGGGATGTATTTCGATCCAGCGTAGTTCTTATTCCATATGTACAATAGTTATCGTGTTATTTAATGTCACTCGATTTATGTTTTCTCTAATGAAAACTCATCTTAATGTAAGCTAGTGAATGAACTTTTATTCCAGTTCTGATCATAATTGGTATTGGTGTTGTTGGATGCATGGATTGATTAATTGCTCACATTTGGAAAAAAAAAAAGAAAATTATAATAATAAAAGAACATATCATAAGTTACAGGAGAAGAAAACAATGTGACAGCATTGATAAATTTGATAACTTCACGAGGCAACTTAAAAACTGATTCCATTAAGTAGCACCATTTCTAAAAGAAACTATTTTTGTGCTTTACACATTTGTACCCTACTGTACAACTGACTGATCGATAAATCAACAACTCAGTTTAGGCAGAGCTTAACTGCTCATGTGCTATTCACGCCTCGAATATATCATTATTCACTGCTTTTACTTTATCTGCAACACACCATAAGCAGCTTTGCAATAGACTACAACACTTCACTCATGAACATAATGTGATGAAAAGTCCCGAGTGAGCTTTTTATTATTCTGTTCTATCCTTTTCCACGTCCAGCGAAAGCAATCTCCAAGGTCCTGTTCTGGTGCTTAGCCTGACATGAATACGAGGATTTAGCTACAAAATCAGTGCCTTGCCATAAGTACATTTGTGAACAATGTCTTTCATTTTCTTTATTATAGTTCAAAAAGGAG